TTGGTCTTAACTACTAGTACAAATATATTTGTATTATCATACATGACACGCGAAATTACATGTATCGTAGTACTATTTTGTTGTACCTGGTACCTGTTGTACACCATATTACCATATTCTAAGTTGGGTGACTGTCTTTTCTTCCAGAAACATGTTCTATTTCGGGTTTCTCCTGAAATACATGCATGATATGGTCTACGCCAGGAAACCCCTGAAAGCTGCCGAGAGAAGTGCCAACAAGACTCGGCAGACGGCAACAACCCAGTCACCGCTCAGCTACCGCCTGGTGAGGAAGGCTTGGAACTCTTGGGCTAGACGGCTTGCCATACCTTGGAATGACGTATGTGTGCATTCTTATTTCATGAATATTTTAATCACTTTATATCCGGATAATCTTAACATTTCATAGAAAGGAATATATCCAATTACATTCAAAAGTGTATAAAGTACTCGTATTATTGACTTTTTACTTCATGTAGCTATACTCTTTATTGCAACTTCATACCCGAGCTGCTGACAAGGACAAACTGACAAGGGCAATGAGTACAGAATGTATTGAATGTATCGTATAAAGCCATGTGCTAACAATCAAGTGCTAAGGTTCTGACAATGTGACATAACCAGTTTTTCTTGTTGCTATTTACCATATCGTGTCATGTGTTGAGACAATAGGACATCTACTTGTAAAAGATGTGAAATCTAGTTGTCTTAGCCAATACTTAGTAAACTAAAACATCGACATCCATAGAAGAAATAAATAAACAAGAAATGAATGCATAAATAGATAAACATTCACAATTTGTCTACTGCAGGTTTTCTGTTGTCCTGTGTGCGGCCCAGAACCGACGACTGTGGTCTGTGACGGCACGGCGATTGGGTCCCGCCGGGATTTTCTGCCCTCCACCACGGAAGCTACAGAGGACAACGACGACACGAGTCCAAAGGTTGCCGGATCCAGCCATGCGGATAGGGTCTTCGTGAAGACAAAACAAGCCAGAGACCTTCTGTTACGCCTTAGTGGAGAGAAGAGGGGACAGAAGGCCGGCATTTAAAACGGACTTTCAGAAAGGGAACTTTCTAACCCTGTCTCCCTCCTGGACAAAGAAGGCCACCGTGAACTGTGTAGGGTAGTGAAGCGGCTGAGATCGGAGGGGGGCGGCCGGGTCGCTCCGACAACCTACCGTAAGATCTTGTCAGAATTGGCCAAGAACTCACCCGTCTGTGGAATCGTGCAGACTGGAGAAGATGTGGAGGCGGTAGAGCTGATTAGGAGGCTGGGTATAAGGGGAAATCGGGTTAACGACTTGTGCTGACTCCACAGCAAGACTTCAGAAATCAGCTCCAGTCATCTTCAGCAGCCTCCGTGACATCACCAAAGGAGGAGGGGACATCCCAGATGACATCAAAGGGCTACTTCTTCGTGTCCACAACGTCATGGACAAGACATTCAACAACGTCGCCATGCCGCCAACAAGTGCCTACCCCCCACCCCCCGTGCCATCCAATCTGTCGTTCTTCCCGGGCTTGAGTCAGCACACGGGACTTCCCAGGTACGAGGCTGACACGAAGTCCAACGGTAGCCAAGGCAGCTGCAGGAAGGAATCCTACGGTCATCCGTCACTCACCCCGGGTATTTTTACAATGTTTTGTCGCCATGGTGTTTGTTACGGATTTGATTGTATGACTAGTTGTGAGTCACCACGCCATCCCTTTCAAATTTTCCGTACTAGGTTCAGCAGGGCTCCAAATGTCATTGTATATGATAATGCATGCAAGTTGCACCAATATGCATTGAATAGGGAGCCTCATTTCTTCCGTAGCACTCAGTTTCTGGTAGATCGCTTCCATTTCCGAGGACATATTGGCTGTTCCCTGGGATATTGCATGGATGAGTACAAACAGTCTGTTGACATCGCGGCATCCATCAATTCCCAGGTGAACGAGCAAGCCAATTCTGGACTCATCCGCATCCAGCCTCAGCTTTCCTATATGACCCCCTCCAACTTTGTTTTCCACGCTTCACTCTTCCTTGCTATCCGCAACTTTGATGCTATCTCTAAACTCTAAAATGACTGATAAATAAGCTCCTCTCTTTTATCGGGCTTCCTATGAAATGACATACTTGCAACTTCATGTTTAACGCTGTATATATGACTTACCAATAGTAAGAATAGTAAAAGAGCTTTTGCCCGGCATGTTTGTGCCGAAACACAATTGTTGATAGTGTTTTCCTTAATGCAAATGTGATACTATCAAATGCGTTATTGCAATTATTGTGTTTTTCTTTCCATTATTGTAATATTTTGCCATTGACAGAGAGAAAAGAGAGAGAGAAAGAGAGATGTTTGTTGTTGATATTTTTTTCAATGCAAATGTGACACTATCAACTGCATGATTGTAAACTTTGGTTTAACTTTTGTATTATCAATGAAATTCCCAAATGGTGTTTTCTCTTTCCATTGTTGTAATACTAGTATTTAGCCTTTGAGAGAAGCATAATTGTTGATGATATCTATCCTTAATGCAAATGTGGAGCCTGAAATGTGATGTTATCAAAACCTTGGTTTAACATCACGAGAGAGAGAGAGAAACGTCTTTGTTGATACAAGGAGGTTCAAAGAGATCCTTGGTTGATAACATTTTTTCTCAATGCAAATATGATAATATCATCAGGTGCATTTACTTCTAATAAACAGTTACTTGTTAGTTTAACATGATGGACTGTTATTAGTAAGTTACTGTAATTACTGATTTGATCGGAACGTCTGTATACGTATCGGCATTAAAAGCTTATTGCTACAGTTGGCACAGTCTCGTCAGGATATTGTACCAAGGACATTCAGCCATACATCTCAGCGTAAAAGATCATGTCAGTTATTAATGTAACACATTATTTCTCAAGTATATGTCAAACTTCGTTCTGCCAGTAAATGCAAAATAACAGAAAACACTGGTTGGAGTTTTCTGAGGCCTGTAGACAAAGGGCTTGCTCTGCCCCACGCTACCGGAAACGCCAATGCATTCTGGGGCGTCATTCTGTAGGAAACTTGGACAGAAAAGTTTGTGGTTACGCTGTGTTTATGAAATATACTGGCACAATAATCGCCCAATAAGTAACAAAAATTACCACAGTGAAAATTAAGTTCTAGCCGTAGAATTGACCACTTTTGGTAGTGAAATCCACGGCTTTTTCGGCACCGCGAGCGTTCTGACTAAGTCCGTGGATTTCATCACTAAGTAGTAATATGTAAGTCGGAGGGGTCGTACAATCCGGGTGGTGGTGCGTGTGGTGCCGCATTCATATGCAAATGCACCACCACCCCTAATGAGCCGAATAATTATGCAAAAATATGAATATACATATATATATATATATATATATATATATATATATATATAGTAGTGT